CCAAGGTCACTGGCTAGTAAGCATAATACACTGACTTAGGGCCTAATGTTCTTTCACTACAATATGAAGCCCTATTAAAATAGCAAGACTCAACACCTCATGCTCATCGCTATATAAAGGTTATAAAACTATTAAGTGTAAGACGTTACCCTGGATCTGTCAAAGAAAAAGCATATATACTCCTGCATCCAGTTTCATTTAATCATTCGTTTTTATCAACTTACTCATGAGAGCTGGGAGAAGTATGTGTGTGGAGGATTCCTTCACCAAAAATCTAATAGAAATGGAAAATAAGGCCTAAAACTTGATAGAACAATAAAAACAGGAAAATTTTAGTAAGGTTGCCTCAGATCTCTTCCTTCCCCCAAGGTTGTCAGGTGATTTCTAATAAATGTTTACAGAGCAGACATTTTAATCTATTCCAGAGCACAACGAAAATAGGTAGAGTTTCCCAATTCATTGTTAGAGGCTGGCTTAATCTTAACACCAACACCAAGCAAGAATAGCAAACTAAAAAAGAAATACAAATATTATGTTTATCTTTTGACTATAGACACAAAAGTCTTAATATATTAAGTAAAAAAAAAAAGGAATATGTGTAGCGTGATCCTATTTTCAAAAGAAAAACCATTGTGAATACACATGTATGTATGTGAGTATGGTTGGATATGTAAATGTATTTGTACATATGTACACATAAGTGCAAAGATACAGGTTTGGAAATATAAACCCCAAACTGTTAATAATGATTACCTTGGACAGGACTGGACTTGGAATGAAAGAAGGAAAGGGGACAAGAAGTAAAGGGAGATCTTCAGCATTTACACTATACACCTATGTATTATTTGAATTCTCAAAATTAACATATATCATTTTGACAATCAATATATCAAATAAATGAAAAGCAGGGCCTATTTATTAATTTGCTATGTCTCGTGTACTTGTTATAGTAAAAATTAATTCTTTTATTCACTCATTGAGCATTCATTTATTTAACGAACACTCAGGATACAACTCCTATGCGTAGGCACTGAGCTTATAAGCACTAGTACCACCAGGTACTTAGAACCTGTTTTTTTAAACACAGGTTGGAACAATAGTTACTTCCTTCTGTGACATACAATGTTGAGTTTTAAGTCAAGTTCTAATTTTTATCACTTATTATTTCTTAAGTAATATACCAGGTATAAGAAATCATTTCTTTTTCTGGAATCCGATCTGCCTTTATCCTAGAAAAGAGTATTAAATAATTGTTATTTTTCTTTTTTGCAATTAAAAAATGTATTTGTATTCATTCATTTACAAAGGTTTGAGTCCCTGCTATGTATGGGTCACTATGCTGGACAATGGACATGCAAAGATGAAAAAATAACATATGGGCTCTACCTACCCTCAAAGAAACTGAGAATTTTGCAAATCTGCTATGTCTGATACTGACTTGTACATAAAAACTGAAACATGTGCCTTAGTAATCCTGCAATTCAAAGTGAAACTAGCAAACTACCCAGTTCAAAAAATAAAAGTTAATTTCAGCTTAACCGGAAAAATCTTAATGTTTATGGAAAATGTAAAATTGTTCAATTATTTTAAGGTTAAAGGGAATAAATTAGTGAGAAAATAGAGAACATGGAAGCTGAAGGGGACCAGAAAGCACATCAGTGTCTCCGTGAACAGTGAGTTCTAGGATTAGCCATGCCACTAAGAAGCTGTTACTAGTTTTAATTGCTCTGTTTCCCCACTGGAGATATGGAAATCATATCTACCTTATTAGGAGAAGAGAAAAAAAATTATTTGAAAGAGCGTAACAAAACCTGGTGAATATGAGGCAGTGTGGCCAAAACACCTGTTTTTTGTTGATTTTTTTTATTTATTAGTCCTCCACTTCGTCTAGGACTAGCCAAGCAAATCTGCAAACACCATTTAACTTCTGTATACCTCATGAAGCAGAAAGAATGCAGGAAGCAGAGTCAAAAGACCTAAGGTCACTTTCAGACCCTGAGTCTTACTAACTCTACAAGGTTAAAAAAAAAACAAAAACAAATTATTTAACCTTTTTGCACCTTAGTTTGCCAGCAATAAAACAGGAATAAACCTACATTACACGATTATTTCAAAGACAAAATGAGAAAAAGCATGTAAAAACATAAACTTAGAAACTATTGTAAATCAAGGACATTTTTCCAAAGAAGACATACAAATGGCCAATAAGAACATGAAAAGATGCTCAATCAGTAGCCGTGAAAATACAAATGAACCACAATGAGATGCCACTTCACACCCTCTGGAATGGCTATCATTAAAAAGACAACATTAAGTGTTGGAGAAAATGGAACCCTCGTACTTTGCTGGTGGGAATGTAAAATGGTGCAGCAGCCATGGAAAAGTTTGGCAGTTCCTCAAGTTAAACAGTTACCATATGACCCGGCAATTCCACATCTAAGTATGCACCCAAGAGAACTGAAAACATGTCTACACAAAAACTTGTCAATGAGTGTTCAAAGCAGCATTACTCATAATAGTCAAAAAGCAGAAATGTGGCATATCCATACAATGGAATAATAGTCAGCTATAAAAAGGAAGAAAGTATTGATACATGCATAATACGGACAAATCCTGAGAATATTATGCTAAGTGAAAGACACAAAGGGCCACATATTGTATGATCTTTTTATACGAAATGTTCACAAAAGGCAAATCCATAGACAAAAAGCAGATTAATGGTTGCCACCTGCAGGGGAGGGGGAATGGAAATGACAGCTGACTGGTTTGGAGGTTTTTTTCAAGGTAATGAAAATACTTTTGAATTAGAGATGATGTTTGCCCTTTCTTGTGAATATGCTAAAACCACTGAATCGTACACTTTAAAGAGTGGATTCTATGGCACATGAGTTATATCTCAATTAAACTCATAGCAATGTAAGTTTCTACTACTTTTTATTAGTAAATATCCTACTTTTCTCAAGAGATTGTTCCTGTTGCTTGTAACAGCTATGAGAAGTCTTTGAAGCTAGATGTTACACAGATGAATGCTATTTTTAGTGAAGTCAAACTACTAATTATGCCAGAGAACCTTTCCACAGATCACATTAATTTGGTATAATTTTATTTCTTCAAAAGAAAAGTATCAATATCAAGTGTGTTTTTAAGGAGTAGAAAGAGCTTCATGGAGTCTTTATGGAGTACATGAAAAAAAAAACAGGTCAAAATGTAACATTTTCTGCTTTTTAAATGAGTGGATATTTAGTTTTAATATATGCCAATCAAATAACTAAAACCCTAGTAGGTGAATTTTGCAACCTCTACCATTTGACATGTTTGTTCTGCATTCTGTGTCAGACCTCTAGATCCGTCACCAGCTCCAAGCCTCATCCATCAATTATTCCTTCCAATTATTACTCACAGGGGTTAAAATGCTTGGTAAACTTTTTAAATGCAATCAATTCATTCCCTCATGTGGGGGAAATTTAGAGTAGGCCCAACTTTTAAGGTTAAATTTAAACTAAGTTGAATAAATATACAGCAAAATGATTTCCTGGAATTTGGGATATAAAAACAATCTATAGAGTTGTGTTATGTTTTCTAAGTCCTTAGGGAATGTTTTCATGTGTTTGGTCATGGGGCAAAGACAGTCACCAACTTTTGTGCACACAAAGTATTATGTATAAAAGCTTCCTGGTTCTAGAACAAAGAAGTATTTTATTGCTCAAAGCAAAAAGGAAGAGATTTTCCTTCTATTTAGCATTGTTATACTAAAATAGCATACCAATGAAACTAGCTAGGTAAGAGCATGACCCAAGGTACGTAAACAAAGATAAACTGTTCTTTATTACGTATTCTTCCTTGGGGGTAGAAAAAGTTTCTCACATCTAAGAAAAAAAGGTTTATCAAGCCAAAGAAAACCATATGGATTAATATCTTCTAATACAGGGGTATTCTGAGTGGCAATTTTAATTTGAAGGTCTGCCAACCTAGGCTAGGATGCATGGTGGGTATACTTGGCACAGACAACATGTGAAGAAAGAGGTGACCTGTCAAACAGCTGCTATCAAGTTACTCCCTCAACGGCACTTGCAACTTCTTCTCGGAGGATGTCTGTGTATGAAACATGTCAAAGCACCATGAGAACCACAGGGGCTGTCACAGCAGCACCAAGTCCAAACCCTGCATCATCCCAGGGTGAAATCGCACCCGCACCCTCCAGAGCCAACCAGGCTGCGGATCTTTTCTGACATGCATCCACCTAACATGTAAAAAATAAATACACGACCAGGGATCCTTGCCAATCCTCTCTCCATTCCCTTTGTGATTCCTCCAGAGGCTGGAGGGATGTTAACATCCTGAAGGCCCGCGGAAGCCAAGCCCCGCTCCGCGAAGGAAATGTCCAGGAGCCTCGGCGCAGCCCGGGGGCCTCGGGCCAGCGTCCCCCACCCCCCGGGCAGGGCCGGTCACCGGCCACACAAAGGAGGCTGCCGCGGGCGCTGGACGCGGGGACTCGCCCCGGAGCCGGGCGCCACATCTGGTCTCACGCACGCCTCTAGGACAAGACCCGCTGCAAATTAAGGATTAATGCCTAAACCTGTTGCACAATTCGGGTCCCTTTCACCCAGAAATGAAGAAGGGCTCAGGAGGGGAGACGCGAGCAACCCGGGCAGTGCGGGCCGCGGCCGCACCCGGCAGGCGGGGCGGAGGAGGGATCGCCCGTCGGGCTTCCCACCTCGGGCGCTTTGTCTGCGGCGGCGGCAGCAGGGGCTGCGGCGGGGACGGCGG